GTGCGCCCCCAGTGAGAGGGGCTCAGGACCTGCTAATCAGAAGTAACCCCCCTGAGTTCTTCAATGGAATTCATGGATATGAATTCCATGCCAGGTGAGGTGACTTGAGTGTTGAACAGCATTGTGAAGCAAAACAGTTCGGGTTTTTTTGGTGAGTGTCTGTTCTGTGGTTAAATAATCTCTTAGAAGCTTTTTGCTCATGCTGGCACTTCAACAGTTACGAAAATCAAACATTTGAGACACAAAGTTTTAATGAACTGTAGCTTTAACCAAGGAACACTGTCAGACTCTAAAGCAAGTTCCTCTCCTTTTTGGCTTCTGTATGAGGCATTTTCCTGCTGTTCTACTGGCATTTCTGATTTATTATGGCATCAGTTCTCCAGAATAAGCATTTGCGCTCCCTATTTTATGTCTACAAACTTCAAGGGAGTTCAGCTGATCCATAATAATAATGAACCTTATAAAAAAACAGTCCACTATAATTTTTTGCTGTGTTAAAGCTATTTAGTTGCATCAACCTTTAAAAAATAAATACTTTTAAAGATTTATCACAATTGTAGGATGCAAAGAGCATCTCCACTAAGCAAAATGGGTCACTCCTTATGCTTGAAGGAGTTCAGGCTTGTTGTGGAAATAACAGCACAGATATAAATGGGTATTTAATTCCTTTATAAATGCTGAGTTACTCATCCAGCCACAGCAGTTTCTCAGGAACCACTGTTTTTGACAAACCTATTAAATAGCAAATATTTGTTTACATGTCTAATGAATTAATAATGCTCACTTAGTGATTTCTGTTGAAGTTTGTCAGGGCTTTGAACCAACTGTAGGAGCAGAAAGTTCAAAGCATTTGCCTCCAAGTTGTTTCAGATTTGCTGCTCATGGAGAGCACCCAGAGAAGTTGCTGCTGGTGGCAGTTTGGGTGGTGTGGGCACTTCCATAATCCATATTTCCTATGGAATTGGGTGTGGATGTGGCAGTTCTGTTGTGAGGGAGCCAATGGATCTGGCTTGTGGCAAACCTGGCCCAAAATTTAGATTTTTTAGATTTACTTTTTTTTTTTTTTCCCCTCATTGAATTATTTCAAGTAGTCAAGAAAGATGTGGAGCTATTGCTATAGGAGTGAGTCCAGAGGAGGTCATGGAGCTGCTTCCAGGGCTGGAGCCCCTCTGCTCTGGAGCCAGGATGGGAGAGCTGGGGGTGCTCACCTGGAGAAGTGAATTATCCAGGGACACCTCAGAGCCCCTTCCAGTGCCCAAAGGAGCTCCAGGAGAGCTGGAGAGGGACTGGGGACAAGGGATGGAGGGACAGGACACAGGGAATGGCTTCCCAGTGCCAGAGGGCAGGGATGGATGGGATATTGGGAAGGAATTCTTGGCTGGGAGGGTGGGCAGGCCCTGGTCGAGGTTGGCCAGAAAATGGTTATTTATTTTTACCGAGGCCATGATCCTGCCTGCTCCAGCTTCTAATGAATGCAAAGTTTTAAATCCTGTTACAACACCAGATCTAGAAGTAAATAACTATTGGAAGTTACTGTCATATTATTGTTCCTCTAAATACATTCAAAGTACTTGGATGTCATAACTCATATTTAGATTGGTTTTGTTTTTAATTCACCTTTATCATCTCTTAAAATTTAAAATTAGAATATTTTTCAGGAAAATGCTGAGTCTTGTAGGCATTTTTGTGTTTTTACTTTACAGATCTTCCTTCTCTCATCAGTTCATAGTTGTTCCTTGCCCTGTCTGGAGTTCAACCTTATTTTTTAGAGGTCAACCTTTTGGCACTTTGGTAAATTGTGATTTGTTCTGAGCTGTTTCCATGTTAGCAGAATCATTCGAATTTAATAATCTAATTTCCTGTCCTTTATACTCCTGGCTTTTGGGGGCTGTTGGCTGGTTTTTTTGGTTGTTTGTGGGTTTTTGTTTGGTTTTTTGTGGGTTTTTTTCTTTTTTTTTCTGGTACAAATTGAAGGAAAAACCAGGATTTTTCTTCTGCTGTAGTCCAGTTGCATAGAAAGCTGCTGCTTTTGGGAGCAGCAGTGTTGCTATCCTTGTGGTTTAACTTGACATTTCATCAAAGTCAAAAATAAATCTGTCAAGATTCCATCCTAAAAATCTCTCAGGAGCAGACTCCACTCAAGGGTGTCAGCTGAGCTCTGAGTAACTTTCTAAAATAGAACATTGTGATTGGAGAGCTAGATTTACTTTGTTTTTCAAGGTTGTAAAATCAAATATCAGAGACCTCAGAAGTGGGTCTGTGCACTTCTTTTTTAGGACTAATAACACCTAAAATCTGTATTTGGATGGGATTTTCCTTAGACTGACCTGAAGACTCCAAGAGTCACCTGAACTACTGTATTCTGAGATTTGAGGTATAAAAGGTTGGAGGCAAATACCCCTTAATGGAATCATACTGCTTCAAGTAGAAAAGCAGCTGAGCCCAGTTCCTTCAGGAACTTTTGTTAGCAGGGGAGGAAGTAGTGGTGAAATACTGAGAATCTCCCATCCTCAAAATTCCCAGGAGGTTTGATAATGATGATTAATTGGAATCTATTTGGCTAATGTGGAAGCAGCCTTGATTTCCAAGTACTCAGCAGGAATATATCATGGTAAAAGTAATTTTGGGGTTTTTTGTGAAGGTTCTGTTACAAATTCCAGAATGACTTTGGAATGGGCTAAGTGGAGGTTTGGATGACAGTAACCAAATGAGCATTTTTTGGGAAGGAGAAGGGAGGCAAAAGGCCCTTTTGAGGTTTCCTCTCACATGGGAATAATAGTTCCTTTGGGAAGTCTGGAATTCTCCTTTGAGCTGTCTCTAACTCCCCGTTTTGCCACTAATTCCCATTTGAGCTGTCAGGGTTGCTCTCTGAGGTTGTTCCCTACAATTCCCCAAAAGAGGCTGATAGTGAGGAGAGGGGAGTTGGGTCTCTTCCTCCAGGGAATAGATGAGAGTATGAGAGGAAATAGCCTCAAGCTGTGCTGGGGGAGGCTTAGGTTGGATATTAGGGAAAGGTTCTTCATGGAAAGGGTTGTAAAGCACTGGGAGGAACTGCCCTGGGGCAGTGATGGAGTCTCTGTCCTTGGAAGTATTCAAGGCACGTGTGGATGTGGCATTTGAGGACAGGGTTAGTGGTGACCATGGTGCTGGTGCTGGTTGGACTGAATGAATTGAATGGGCCTTTCTGACCTTAAGAATTCTGTGACTCCACAATTCCCTGGTGGAATTTGGACAGAAACAGCTCTGGAAGGGCAGGAGAAGAGGAGGAGGAAGGAGGGTGCTTTGCATGGCTTGAATGCCAGGTTCTGTGACCTGGAGCTGCTCTGTCAAGACAAACATGCGTTTGAAACGGGAAAGAACAGTCCCATGAGATCTGTGCTAGGGCTGCACTTGTTTGATGACCAATATTGAAGTTTTTCCTGGAATTGCTGCCTGTTGCAGCCTGTACCAACCTCCTGCTGCTGGTCAGGTTGGGAAGAGTCCAGCCTGAGGGGAGGTGGAGTTTGGAAAGGCCTCTCTCCATCCTAAACCCCCAGAAGAAAAGTCGAGCAATGTGTGCAGTGTAGAATTTTAAATCATTTTGCTGCTGCCCTTTATTTCTCCAGAATGTTGGTAATAAAATCCAATAAAGTCACCTGCAATCCATGGCTTTTACAAAGGGAGAAGGAGCTGTGCTTGCTGTGAGGGAGCCTCATAAATCACATATTAGAATCATTGAATTTAGGAAAAACCTCTGACATCCTGGAGATCCCAGCCATGTAATCTGTCCAGCAAGCAAACTAAATACATATATATAATGCATATCATCAACCACCTAGGAACTTTAAATACTTGAGTAAATATGGGCCACTCAGTCTGGCTTATTACATTTACCTATTTTTTCTCCTTCTCCTGTGGAAAAAACCCCGCCAGGTTTTCCTTGAAAACTCTTGACACACGATTGTTTTGCAAATTTCTTTGATTTTTAATAAAACAATTACTTTAATAAATACTATAACTTGGTTTATATTGATTAAAATATCTCTTCATTCTGTGCGCCTGTCATAGTATTTATCCCAAACTTTATTTATTTGAAGGAATAGTTTTAATAATTCAGTTCTGGGCTGTAGAATTGTGCTAATTCATTTTATTGGAATCATGAATCAGAGATTTTTTTAACTTTCTAATGTTCCATACTCCAGGTATGCTCTGGAGTTCAGTCAGACCAGTCTTGGGGATTTTGGTGGGGGATTTTTTGTTTGGGCAGGTTTTTTTTTTTGCTTTGGAGGTCTTGGTAGGGGAGGGAAGGGAGAGGGTTGTGGGTTTTTGTTTTTCCTGGGAGGGTTTCTCTGTTTTGTATTATTGTTTGTATGCTTTTTGTTTGTTTTTTTGTTTCATGTATTTTTGGTGGTTTGTTTGGGTTTTTTGGTTGTTTTTTGTTTTGTTTTGCTTATTTATTTTTTGGGTTTTTTTCCTCGTTTGGTTTTTAATTTTACTTTGTTGGTTGTAGGGATTTTTTTGGTCTGGTGCTGGCGGTGCTTGTCTCATTTTCCTGGACACAACCTAACAACCTGTGTCCTTATTTAAGGCCATCCTCAGGGATCATTCCCATTTTTCCTAGGCAATGCCTTTGAATCCTGGGTCTCCCTGGCCTTTTGCAGTGAACCCCCACTTTAATCAGTGCAATTTCTCTGCTGCAGTTGCTTCTCCAAAGTGCTTGAAAACAGGAAGGACAACATAAATACTTTATTTCAGGGAAATTATGGAAATCAGATCTGATTTAAGCCAGAACCTTGCATTTTCTTGACTTGGAGGGCTGTGCATGCACAGTTATCGAGTTAATGAGAACACACATCCTGAGTAATGCTAATGGCACTCTCCTTCCTTATTTTTGTGACTGAAACAATGCCACACTCTTACAGACTGCATATCCCCTATGTAGGAGATACCTGTGAAAGAGTTTGTAGTGGCTCAGCTTTGTGCAGGTTGACTAATAAATGTGTCAAATCCCTCTTTTCCAGCTCTGCCTTGAGTGAAGTTTGACGGAAAATGGTCCAGCAGCTTTGTCTCTGGAAATGGTTCACAGTGGGGATGGCACTTGCTGCTGTCCTGGCATGGGCTCTGGCCCAGAATGATGAAGGTAAGGGTTTGGCTGAGGGGGTGGAGCTGTGGGAGGACTGGGACATCTCTGGAATTTCGTTGAAATGTTTTTTCCCCCCTCAAAATTATAACTTGAAGAAGTAATTTGGTAGGAAAAGAGGTTACAAGAAAGGTCTGTGTGTGTTTTGTGCTTCATGGCTTCAGCATCTACTGATGATTGCATTTTTTGAAGCTGTTGATTTACCAGGCAAGATAAAATCTTCCATTATGATTATTCAGTGTTGGGCTCGAGCATCAAAATTGGTTTTGTCTTATTCATTGTGCAAGCTTTTCCAGTAAACTTTAATTTGTTTATAAATCAGCAGTTGTGGTTAGAACAGGAGTTTGAGAGAATTATTAATGACCAAAATACTGGGAAAAAATCAAAAAATCCAGTGAGGGTTTTCTAGAGAAACAATACTTCAGAAACCTGCAACATGGCACCGGTAGCTCGTGTCACTCTTCAGAGCATCTTGATTGAATTTAATTAAAAGACACCAGAAATGTGTCCTGTCAGTGATCTCTGGTAATTAAAAATTACAGCCCTGGATAGCTGATTAGGGTTTATTCTTTTGAACCATTTAACAGCATTGAAAGACAAAGTCTGTCAGAGTTGTTCCTGAATACTCTTGGGAATAATGAGTGGGATAAGTGAAAACTGAGTGTGGTTTCAGAATGTCTGTAATGAAGTTGCTCATTATCCATGGCACTCCATGTGGGTAGAACTGTAATTGTACAAATTTATGACTTTAGCATCCTTTTTGGTTTAAAAACCTCTATTTTGTCAGTTAGGAAGTGCTTCCATGGGAAGTCTTCAATCTTGCTTGATTTATGCTTTGTTTTTTGCTACTGAGTCAAAAGTCTCTGTTTCTTGCTCTCCTAATCGCTCTCCAAATATCCTTTTATTCCCTTCCATCCCCCAGCCCAACCCCATGTTATATTTAATGTCCATAATGTACAAGAAAGCTAATTTAATTTTCTCCATTTTCACACCGTGTCATAATCACTGTCACTCCTGACACTGAAGTGGACGAGCTGCTCACATTTCACATATTCACTCTCTGCTGGGGTGCAATTAACAGGATTTTAATCATTTATTGAGGTTGAGGAGAGGGGCCATCAGGATGACGAAGGTTGACCTTGGTTTGAGGTGGTTTGAGGAGGAAGATCCTGGGTTGGGTGGAGGAGAAGCAGCAGGATGGCCTCTGAGGAGAATATAATGGGGATTTTTGGTTGAGGAGCCATTTCTGGTAAGGCTTGGGTGATGAAATGTGCAAAACACAGATGGCCCAGACAGGACAGGAACAACTTGATCTCCTGAAGGGGAAAAAGGGATCCCTCAGGTTTCCATTTCTGTTCCTTTGTACTCGTATGACAAATTCTCATCTCTGTGTCCTTATCCCAAGATTTTTCAGAATCCTTTTTCTTCCAGGTTATTTAGAGGAAGGGAAGGGCCACCACTCTTTAATGGCAGTGTCCTGTGACTGAGCAAATACAGCAATTCCCTTACTTCAAAGGGTTATAAACATAATTTTTGTGTGAATTTTTTTGGCCTGGCTCGTGCTAATTTTATTTATCACAGAACCCATTTGATTTTATCTTTGATAATGGTTATATGACCTGAACAAGGCAGCTTTGTTATAAGGAGTATAAATTTGCTGCCTGTAGCCAAAATTCTTGCTTTTTCAGGGGGACTGTTCAGAAATGCTGTTTCCTGGGGAGCATGCAGCACCCTGATACAAATTGAACTGATTTCCTCCCCCACACTGTGTTCAGGAAAGGGTAAATGTAGCTAAAAGCACTTTGGATAAATTTCACAGTGAAATAGAGAAAAAATGAGCTGGAATTGGATTTAAGCCAAGGTGGGGGACTGGTGACTCAGCAAATGAGACCCAGCTAATGAGGCAATGCTTATAGAAATAATTACTTGGAAATATGTTTCTTACAGCTAAATAGAAAACTCTGTTAAGGGCTGGGCCTAAAGGAGTTCTGATCTGCAGGAGCAGAATCTGTAACCTGAAATATAACATAGAAAAGATGTGTTCTTCTGGCAATTGCCTTTAAACAGTGTAGTTCTCTTAACAGCAGAATAATACATACAAATAAATAAAAATTCAGCTCTGTCAAAAATGATGTGTTGTTTCTTTGCACTCAGCATGCCAATCCTCCATTTTCTGGGCAGCAGCTGTGGATGTTGACTCAGTTTCTTTCCCCTCTTGCTGTGCTTTGCTTCATTAGCTCATAATTTCTCTGTTTCATATGTTTTGCTTGACCTCCTGTGTCACCAAATCCTCCCCAGCCACAGCAATTAATGATGTCCCAAAGTAACTTCATCCAGGAATGCCTTGGTCAGGCTGCTTTATTCCTAGACTTTGCAGGAAGTTTCCCCATGATCCCATCTGCTCCTGATGAAATTCAAGTACTTCCCATCTACTGTAGTCCCTTTGTATTCAAACACACCCTCTAATTATTAAAAAACGCAATACTTTTTGTTACAGAGCCATGCCCATCAGTCCTAATTTACTGTTGATGAGCCCATTCAGTGTTTAATTTCAATTCTTTCGTCCTGTAATGCTTTTGTTCAATCCTATGGTACACGAGAATAAATGTTAGGCTGGAGTGTGGATGGGGAATATTGTGAGTATTTTTGGTTTGATTTTCTGAAAAAAAGAGATCTGGTTTTACAATTGCTGCTGTTGTCTCTCTTCCAAACAGGAGAAATGTTGCAAAGGTTTAATTTTTTTTTTCATAGTCTTTTAGCCTAAGTTCAAATAGAAATGTGTTACTTGTAGCTGTGCAGTACATGAAATTAGGTCAGCTGAAATCTTTCATTTTTCCAGTGCTGCTCTACTGAATTCTGAGGCTAAAGGAATCAGGGAGGAGGAAGGTGGAAACACTGGATCAAATTTCTCCCTTTTTTCTTCTCTCTAATCCAATGTCTAGAGCTGAAAGAAAAAATTAGCAGCAACTTTTGGCCAGCAAAGAAGGCTGCTGAATTCAAAACTCTCTGCTCTTTTATGCCAGACCAAACCAATCCAGCAGCAATTATTTGCCAATTAACATATTTAATTACCCACATTGAGTCCATACCCTTCATGAAAATACAAAAGTGAGCTGGAGGGGCACCAATAATTTATTCTTTACTATTAAAAGATGAATAGAAGGCAAAAATCATTCTGATACCTTTTAAAAACCAAAATCAAACGTGAAGATCCACCCACAAAATTTGCAATGGATCTGTTCTTGGTGTTTTCAGAAGTAGTGTAATGGGGCTGTGAGTTGTGGGGATCTGTTTCATACCATGGAATCTTTGGAGGGTTTTTGAAGATTTTTGGGATGCTGCTTTTAAAGTTGTTTTGCTCTTTTTTATACATGAATGAAAAGAACACTTTAAGGTCCTTATATTTCTCCTGAAGATTTATAGCTGTAAAGGAAGAATAGTGACAAAGATCCTGAATTCATATGCTCAGGGATGAGCCTGTCTTGGTCCTTTTGTTATCTTGTAAATTTGAGGTGTGTTTGAGGGGCTTCTCCAGGGGCAGGAGGGGGAGTGCTGGGCTTGATGTCACCTGTCCCATACATACCCCTGACCCAGGGACCTGTTACACCACCCTGTCACACATCAAAAATGTCAGTACTTGGGTCCCACTGGTGTTTGGTGTGGAGCCAATGCAACCACAGGATCATTTTGGTTGGAAAAGACCTTCAAGAGCAGTGAGTCCAACCATAATGCTGGAGATAAGGATTTCTAGAAGCTTCCACTCCAGAAATCTCCTGGAGCTGTTCCATGAAATCATCCTTTCTGACTCACTTGAGGAGTAATACTTGTTTATCCCACAGGAGATGCAAACAGGATGTTAGATGTATTTCTCTTGGGATGTATGGCTAAGAAGGAATGCTCTTTTGATTATTTCATTTTGCTTTTTTCAACTCTATTTTGGACTTATCACTTTAGTTCTTCCAATCTTCTGGTTTCAGACTCATTTCCTTCCTTTTCCTTCCTTTCTGCTTCACTGTGGAACAAGAGATGAGCCATGGACACCTGCACTGTGGAATATGGATCTCAGTGCTGGCTCAGTGGTTTTGTTTCATTCTGAAACAAAATTTCACAAAATAAAACTAATCAGAAGATTTGCTCATCCAAATATGGATTTCATTTCCTAAGTGTTCAGCAGATGGATATTTTTTTTAATCAGAATGTAATAAAAAACATTTAAATGGTCTTTGGCACTACGCTGAGTGGGGGTGACTTTTTAAGTAAGGTTTTTTTTCTGTGTAAAACACAACTGTTTACTTGTGCCACCAGGACCAAATCCCTTCATCTGTTTTTCAAGGCCCCCTCTATTAGTTAATGTCTGTATTCAGTCTAACTATCTTCTGCTACAAAAACTGAATCACTGAGAGGCCTTACAAATCACCTTAAGAGGCTATTTTAGAAAGAAAATAGTTTCAGATCTTGATCCATTACTGTTGGGCAGGAAATTAACTGGGGAAAATGCATATTTGAGTACCTGGAGCTCATTGATCATTCCCTGAGCCCTGCAGATCCAGGGAGAGGAGAGAAATGCAACCAGGTTCTTGCCTGAGGGAAAGTGTCTGTTCTTGGGAACAGAAGTCATTTGTGTTTTATGGGGACTTGCTGCATTTGGTTGGGAGCTGTGCCATTGATCCTACAGGGAAAAGAGCTCTCCTTGATGTTGTTGAGTTGTAGTGGAGCCATTAAGTTCCTCTGAAGGGTTTAGTTCCTCAAAGTGTCTTTGAGTGCCACCAGCAGCACTTTGAGGAGACAAGATGAATTTCCCTGAGGTGAGAGGTGAGTTATTCACAAAATAGGGGCACTGAAACAAGGTTCATCTCAGTTAATGTACAGATTTTAGCCCTGGTGAAAGGAACTGAGGATCCTGGGATCTCCCTGTGGCTGTGCTGTGAGGGATGAGGCATGAAGCTGCTTCTGGAGAAGGAGGAAATCCCAGATCCCAACAGCTTTGGAGTCACCAGACT